GCCCCAAGTCACTTCCTTAGGAAACCTTCTCTGGGCTGCCAGGAGGGCGCAAGTTCCGGTTCCCATGGAGGCACACCGCCAGGGGTTCTCCCCAGGACACTCACAGTGGCAGGTGTATGAAGCCATGTCATGCCTTGTCCCCTCGACTGTAAGCTTGCCCGTGCCTGCTTCACTGTTGTCCTTAGAACCTGCAGCTGTCAGAGCAGCTACTCAATGAATAAACGTTGGCTTGTCTGATTAAGCTGCAGTGTGCCAGGATAGTCAATTAAATAGACAAGACCCTCCCCAAGCCTATTTACCAAATACTGTGCTTAATCTTGTAAGCCATTTAAAGGATGTTGGCATTTTTTTTTTTCTACTGGAAGATTAATCTCCGTAATTTTGTTTCATTTGATTATGAATATCTATACTAGCTTATGATGTCCTTTTCTTTTCACTTTAACAAATCTTCATTACTCTTGGAAACCTGTGCTGACTGAACCAGGTTTAAATGAATCATCTTTCGTTTGTAAAAGACCGAGTCATAAATAGGCAGAATCAACCCATGCTTTTATTTCCATTGCATATAAAAATTTCATATGAAGGTATTGATGTACAGTACTATCCCCATGGGCTGTAAGAGAGGCTAAGAAACCACTAAAAGAATCATCATTTATAATGCTCACACACAATTTACCATTCTGAAAACATTATCTAAGGAAATAAAATAAAAAACAACTAAAATCAGGAAGGATGTGTTTTTGTAATTATAGTGTCCCCTTTGTACTGTTTAAAAAACAAAAGTAATCAAATTCCTTTGGGCCAGGGCTGCTAAAATCTACAGTTTGTGTCAAAAAAAGAAAACAAAATAACAGGAGGCTCATTTTTCCTAAAAAGAGGATCTCTCCTTTCACTAAGTCACATCTTCTGAGGGCTGGGCAGTAGTGGAAGGTTTCATCCTCCACTGTGAATGTGTTGGCATTGGGAGCTGGCCATTGGGAAAGGCTGCATTTTAAAAATTCTAAAGCAATAGAAGTTTTGCAGAAACCAATTCTAGAGAATGATAAATCCTTTATGCCATGTCATTTGGTATCGTATAAAACATACCTTGTACATCGTACATATGGACTCACATATTAAAAATTTGGTTGATTTCAGTTGAAGAAAATTTCCAGGGTTAAAAAAAATGACCTTTTTGGTTTTATATAGTCTCTTAACATGACAGGGAGCTGATGAATAAATGACTAACCAGCATTCGAGACTTTTGGCTCTAGTTTCAAATCAAGTTCATTTGCCTATGTGCTCTAGAAGCCAAAAATATTTCTTATAATCCGGGACAAGAATGTATTTCCCCAGTAGTGTTTGAAAGTAGAAAACAAATGTGGCTAACTCAAGTAGCTCCTGATCAACAGATGGGGAAAACCATCACCATGTAAGCAATGCTGCTTCATGACAAGAAGTACTTAAGCTTGTATCTGAAAAGGGTCTCAGAATCTTCCAGAGGTGGTCTGTGGTTTTGTAAAATCCAGCTACTGCCAGAAAACCAATAGATTCAAAGCTCAGATGTGGAATGCCCAGCCCTAGCCACACAGTAACCTTACTTTCAAATGCAGCAAAACAGAAGAAAATACTGGTTAAAGTTAAGGCACAGCCCTGGGACCAAAGACCTGCAGCTATGTTTTTTTAAACTTATATATCTTTATGTATTTTATAGTTTTTTTTCCTTGAATTTTCCATAAACAAGCTCTAAGGTGACAAGACTATATTACAGGAGAAAAAAAAAATGTACAAGGAGTATGTATACACACCATTCATTCTCTCACCAAGAGTTTCCAAATATGTCAACACCATCCCATCATGGGATGATGTTTTAATAAGAACTGATAATTTACAATTAACATTACAATATGTACATTACAATAAATACATGGTTGTAAACAGACAAACAAGACTGTATTACAGGTAAGGTCATTTGGTGAGAAAAAAATGCATGGCACAAAAAAATAAATAATGCATTCAAAAATTATCAAAGCTTTCTGTGAAATCCATTTCATTCAAGTTTTTCTCCCCCCTCCCCCTATCTGCAATTTGTTCTATCTACATTATTTTCTTGTGAATTGTAAGTGATGTAAAAGAAAATAAAATCAAAACAGCATTACTGTGTTTAGTAACTTGCAAGCTGAAATGTACTGGTTATATGCAAACTCGGTCATCTTTTTCCCACACAGTACCAAGATATTGCATTTTCTTATGGCATTTTAGGAAATGTAAAGCCACTTGTGAAAGGATGCTATTTTTAAAGCGGTGAATGATACTGAAGCACACTTGGGCCAGAGAGGAGAAAAAGGAGGAGGGAGGGAGAGGATCAGCAGATCGTACAGTGCATTAGTCCCTGACTCTTGGATAGTACGCACTTTCTACAATTTGATTGTCAATCAGTGGGTACCCTCACAGCAGGTGACCATTAACACCCAACAAATGGGGGAGGGGGGAAGCCTCTCTTTTTAGTGCAGTTATAAACCCTTTCAGGTCTGGATTTATTTGTGACATATTGCTGCTTTAATTTTTTTTTTTTTCATTATTAAGATTCTAGGCACTCTGTGGGGAAAATACCAAGTATTAGGGAGAAGAGGGAATGAGACTATTTTGGAAAAAGGAATAAACCCTAGATTATTTGTCATTTCTTCTAGGCCTCCATCAGGGATAAATGAAATTAAAACAGGTTGCCAGGAGTTCTTGTGGGACTGTTTAGACAAATATAGGACTTTGTCTCAAAGGTTACTGTCTGATCTTTACAGGGAAAGGAGGGTGGAGATAGGAACGTTAAGAATCAGTTGATTCCTATTCTGCTCTGTGTAAAAGCTTTCCATCAGGGATCTCAGGAGATTAAAGCAGGAGCTATCTTCAGCGAGGGTCATTTTCCTGGCTGACGACTTTGCTATTCATCCCTAGAAGGCTCCCTGCCTTCCCAAATATCAATGCTTTTCAGCGTTATGCTTTTCCTTCACTGATTATTTTCCATTTAGTCAGACACCCCCTTTAGTTCTAAGTCAATTCTTAGATATCAATTTGAAAATGACTATTTGGGTGCCAATCTTTTCCCAGAGAAGGTACTCACTTTATGAAGAGTTACAATGGAAAAAAAGTCCAAAGTAAATAAATGCCCCAAGATGCCAACTGATGACAAATACTGGAAATTAATCTCTAAAACTGCAATAGTTCTTGGTGCCAAATTCAGCCAAAAGCGCTCTCTTTCTTTATTTCAGCAGAATCTTTTTACCCAACCCAGTATTTTAGGAGGGCATTATATTACCAAACCACAGGTGCCAGTGGCATCATGAATGGCTTTCCTTCAGGATATTTAAAGATTCTCTATAAGACATACTAATGAACCAATGATAACTAATAAAGCAATTTCTACATACTACTTGTCCATTAGGGAAGGGTAGTTGCTACATTTAAAATCACTTCTCCAGAATATTCCTTATATAGTTCTTACTCCCATGGTAAAATCACGGAAACAAACGCACATTAGTTGTACTGGTGTTTGTTAATATATTCTAATATTGTTAAAACTGCCTAACTACCTGTTAAACTTTTCTCTGTAAATCAAGAGTAAAAGCTAGTCATTCTACATGACCACACAGTAGAAATGAATGCCAACCCAACCTTGACTATCTGTTTGTTTTTTCCCCCATCAATCAAAATGGCAATGATATATGTGATAAGACCCTATCTAGTGAAGGTGGACAAACACACACTAAATGGTAGAGCAGCACAAGGGGCAAAAGTTTTTCATACTATGACTGTGAAAACGATAAAAATGAGCATGACGTATGTGGGTAATTACAAAGACATGCACTTGTGAAATGAGGATCTACTGACATAGCAAAAAGTTATCAGAAGACACTACGTAGGAAAATATCTTAAAAAGACTGACCATTTTAGCTACTGGGTATTTATATATATCTCTCACTTGCTTCAGACAACACCAACGGATGATTGCATGTCCATGAGGCCTAAGACACGTTAGAAAAAAACGCACATCAAAGTATTACTGAACAAATATTCACTTTGCATACCATGAAGAAAAATAGTAAAGAGCAACTCTGCTTACCTGAAAAGAATGAAACAAAAAAAAGTAAATGAAGACCTACAAAAAGAGTTTCCTGCAACATAAAATTTGTCTTTGTTTTAAAATATGGAAGTCATTGGTATATAAAACAAGGAATCACTACAAATCAGTTAATTGCTATGAACTATAAGGTGCAAGTAAAATTCGTAAATTAGATTTATCCAGTGTAGCACAGATTGGTACTGAAAACTTGCAAGTTACTCCTTAGAAAAAAATAACCAGTGGCAGATGAAGTTCTGAACATAGTTTTTTTTTTTTTTAAATATAATACTTCAATACATTTAATAATAAAAGTAAGCTCTACAAAAATTCTGTTTTACATATCATACAAAATATAGAGGTCAGTGCAGCTCACTGAACCACACTATTCAGTCATGTATCAGGAAGACTTGAAATTAGAAAATTATGCAATTTCTGTGGCTCATCTTCCTCCTGGCAACAGATTCACGCTGTTCCTGTTCCTGACCCATTTGTTGTTTCATCCACTAGTTCACTCTGTGAAATACCTTCTTTCTGCTGAAAATATTGCAAACAAATAAAAAGAAAAGAAACCCCAAGTCCTATCAACTTCTGTCTGATGAGCCACACGCTCTTGGAAATATTTTGGAATTGATTCTTCTCTGCTTTGTCAGCTTTACCAAGCTGAAATCTTGTTAAAATGCTGTTCGTGAAGATGTCCCCCTTGGTCTGATGACATGGAGGTGAAAAAACAGGTTACAATATTCCTGAGCTCCAGACTGAGTAGTCAAGGTCAGTTTTGTTCAACAAACGTCCTGGCAGATGACAGTGAGGTGTGACCATGGTTGTGGCATGTGACATGCACTTTGGAAACAATTTTTTTTTCCTACTAAAAAAAAGAAAAAAGGCATGAGAGTCGTTTGCACTGTTACGTGTCAGGAGAATGATCATCGATGACACAGACTTCGGGCTGGCTTTCCTCCTCTTCCCCTACTGCTTCTTCTTCCACCTGTTCATCCAGGGGGATCTCGGTCGACTCCGAGTCTTGAGTGCAGAGAGTCTTGGAGTCACTGCAGCTAGTGTCTTCTTCTACTTGACTTCCACTGTCCTTTTCAGTGTCTGACTCGCCATCCTCCTCTAAAGTGAGTTCAAACTGGAACTTCTCAGTCTGACCCGGCCGGCCCTCCTCCTGGTCATCAGGTGCTGGGGAGGGGCTCTGAGGAATTGTGCTCTGGTACCATTCACGATTGTCCTCCAAAGTGTCCAAAATGTCCTGGGCATCAGGATGGACAAGGTCTGCCCATGTCTCCCAGAGAGGATGAACGATATAGTCTATGAAGCCCACCTGGTTAAAAAGAAATCCAGTTTGAGTACAGGACTTGGGACGAAGAAATTATGGAAAGGGTTAACTAGATCCCACAAATATATCTGATTTATATCAATTTATAAATATGACCTAAAATTCAAATAGAAACATAGGAAACATTACGTGGCCTGAAAATACGACATTGAACGGAAGACTACTAACTTTACTTTGGTAAAACAGTCACTGTTTTAGGCGACGGTGAAAATTAGCTTCTAGAACTTTTTATAATCTAAAAATCCTACAGCTGTTGACACAGCAGGGCTTGGCTTGAGGCCTGGACTTCATTTTAGAATAGCCAGGAATAGGTAAAGTGAGATAACTGAAGTATTGTCATGTATCCCACATGAATTCATATAGCTGAATTCTCTTAAAAAATTCAGATAAATTATCTCTATGCCTATGAATATACTATGTGAATATAGTCATTTGTGGATATAATGCTATAAGAACATAGAAGTGACTATGAATAAAAAGTGAAAAATCATAAGGATAAGAGTCTTTTGAGTTGTAAAGACTAATGTGCAAGTGAGCTTGCAAACATGAAGTACTCATGTAAAAATCACTAAAACACTGTGTGATGTGGAACAATGGAATACAACGTTCAGGTTACTGGTTTGTGCGTAATGCGTCACCTGTGATTTCTCCACAGAGGCATTGTGCTTGTCACACATGGGACTTATCTCCATGCCCCGCTCCCTCTCGCGGTCTCCTTGACGGAAGAACTCCTCCATTATGCGGTCCGTCCACTGGCGGTACAGCTGCAGTGGCTTGGTCGGGTTGCTCAGGTCTGCACAGTGCACCATATTCTGGAGGACCTAAAACAGACAAGTGCATTCTCGACTCAGCACCTGTTCCTTTTTTCTCCTTTTTACTAGAAATTCACATGAAATGACTGCGACACTTAAAAATAGATGTTGTGTAAGGTTCATTCCAAATAGTTCAACCATGATGTGTCTATGTGTGGTTCACACTTATATTAATAGTCCAGAATTATGACACCTCTACTGCATTTAAATACCAAGAGCTGTTTATGTGCATGGCTGATTAAATTTGGAGCTGCTTAAATGGCTGGTTTTGTGGGATGTTAGAATTAAAAAAAAAATGCATATGCAAATGTAAAGACTAAGCTGGTTAAATTCATAAGTTGGGAGAAAGGAGACATACATTTTATCAAAGCTAGACACACAGACACATGAGAAAATTCAAGTCATGCTTTACCTGAATTCTGTCAGAATAATTATCAAGAAGAAGAACTCCAGAACTGGTCACTTTCTTAGTTTCAACCATAGTTTTCAAATCAGCCAGTAGATTCATGTGTTTTGACATGTCTGTTGCAAGTACCTGAAAGACAAGGAGTATTTTTTAAAAAAAATATTTTTTATTGATATTTTACAGAGAGGAAGGGAGAAGGATAGAGAGTTAGAAACATCGATGTGAGAGAAACATCGATCAGCTGCCTCTTGCACACCCCCTACTGGGGATGTGCCTGCAACCAAGGTACATGCCCTTGACCGGAATCAAACCTGGGACCTTTCAGTCCGCAGGCCGACGATGCTCTACCCACTGAGCCAAACTGGTTTTGGCGACAAGGAGTATTTTATTAAGTAAAAAAAGAATTTGCAAATAAAAGTACTATGCAGAATTTGGTAAGAAATGGAAATCTACTCTCCTCCTAACAGCATCTATGGCAATTCTTCACTACGTCTTAGGGCAGAATCCTTTCCTCTTTGTTGTCAAGTTTTTTGGAAGCCCAGATATATGTGTGCAATATACAGAAATGTTAGGCACTGATAACAAAGTTTATGACGGAAAAAAGGCATATCCATGATAAGACATCATTACATATTTTTCCCATTCCTTAGACTAAAAAATGGTTAGTGAATGCTGATGAGCTGATTCAAGATTGCTCAGAGTACTTCAGAAAGAGAATATTCTGGGCAATTTTCTGCTTATCCAAGATAATTCTTTCCCCTGTATATACAAAGCTTAACAGAATGGATTTTTTGATAACCAGAGATTTTCCTGTGTCTCCTAATCACTGTGAATAATATGCATAGAAAAAGTATTAAAATCATGGATGTTTTCTAAATGGCACTCTGATGGAGCCTCCCCCCCTTTTTGAGTGGAAAAAATTCAAGCTATGGTCAGCACCTCTGCTCTTGTTAGTCATCTTTCTGCCTCCACCAGACCAGAGGAGTTCAGAAAATAAAGCTAGAATAATGAGGGTAAGCTATCATTATTCTTTTTAAAAATTTTGTTATTGATGGATTTTAGAGAGAGAGAAAAAGAGAAAAACATTGATTTGTTGTTCTATTTATTTATGCATTCATTGGTTGATTCTTGTATGTGCCCCAAATGGGATCAAACCCACAACCTTGGAATATCACAATGATGCTCTAACCAGCTGAGCTACCCGTCATTATTTTATTATATTAAAATATATTTTTATTGATTTCAGAGAAGAAGGGAGAGGGAGAGAGAAACATCAATGATGAGAGAGAATAATTGATTGGCTGCCTCCTGCACGCCCCTATTGGGGACTGAGCCTACAACCTGGGCATGTACCCTTGTGACAGGTATTGAATCTGGGACCCTTCAGTCTGCAGGCTGATGTTCTATCCACGGAGCCAAATGGGTTAGGCTATCCATCATTATTTTTAACTTTAAACTACTAGAAGTAGAAAACCTATTTCAGAACATTAGGGACAGCTTCTCAAACATAAAGGGGCAGCAATAGGTTTTGAAATATATAGTTCCTTTCATTTAATATTCATTCTTTTTTCTCTCTAACAGTTTGCATCACAGCTTTCTTTTTTGCTTTTATCAGCTACTTACAATGTCAATGACCATTTTTCTTAATGATTGTCTTTGCTTTTTGGTCAAATTCTGGAAAATGTCACAGTTTTCTTCTTGAAGCAACTTAAAGCCCACGGCCAAATGATGGTTCTCCAAGACAGAAGAATCGTTGTACATCAAGGCAAGTTCAGAATCTTAAAAGAAAGATGAGAGATAAGAAGATTAGCAAAGCCATTTATTCTAAGTTTATCTTATTCTTCATATGCTGAGATAACTTTCGGTTTAGAGCTCAATTTCCCCTACACATCTCTGCTGGCCTTAGCATACATAACAACACCAAGAAGGCAATGTACTATAGTTACTGTAACAGTGGCAAGAGCAATGAGATCGTGGGAGTGAATTCTAATGTGAATGACATGTGGCAAGTCATTTCACACCCTGTGTCTCAGCTTTCTCTTTGCTAAAGTGAAAGCAGAACTGAACAGGTAGCTCCTTCCCTCCAGATCTGCCATAGGTCGCTCCATAAGCTCAGCAGAATACGACATTATTCTTAACATTTGCAACGTGTCCAAAGCATAAGGTGCGGTATTCCTGAAAAGTGTACATCACCTACCCAACATTTATATAATGTAAGGATCACGTGACTTAGGATTGCTTGTGTTCCGAGAGGGTACAAGAACAGTTTGGAACACACAGAGAATATGAGATTTGTCCATGCTGTTCTTATTTTCATCCACAGTATAGCTTTGAAGGTAAAGGCTTTATTCATCTTTCCATTTCCTTTTCCAAGTACTATGACAGTCATCGTATACAGGTCTATTGCCCTTTCTACCTGAGCACACCCAGCTTCACGCAGAGCAGGATGTCAGGCTGCCTACGTAAATGCACGGTGATGATTCTGCTGCTCTCACAACTGCCCTGGGCCTGTGCATTTTAGGCAGTGAGAGATCCTGCCTCCTTACTAGTTCCTGTAAATACCTTACAGACCAAAGAAATTGGTCTGTAAGGTATTTGGTCTGTAAGGTATTACAGACCAAAGGTAATAAGGTAATTGGTCTGTAAGGTATTACACATTGGCAGCACCAGCTCTGAGGTGCTGAGTGTGCTGGTCTGAGTCGCTGATGCTCAATCCATGAAAGAGCAACATAAACTTAATGTCTACATAAAAGAGAGTTGATTGCAAACTAAAAATAATCACATAGTTTTGAGGGTGTATCACAAAGTGTTTTATTACAAGTTTACAAGTTATTAGAGGGACTCATTATAGCATGCTATGAAATTAAGATTTATTTGTGCTACTGGCTAGTAGGCCTCTTCTGTTTCTGAAGTACAGTGCTTGCTGGCATGACCCCTAGTCAAACGCTAACCAGGGCAACCATTCTCACAATGCCCTGGGCTCTGATTAACCCTGAGATACTTCCATTACCAGGTGATGTTGCTGATTCATTCTCTCAGGAATAATATGGCCTCACTACACACCACCCTCCGGGAAACATTAGCGATCAAAGTTCCTCTGGGAACGGTTCACCTCCCAGCGGTCCCACAGAAAGATCATCACAACATTACTGAATAACAAAATACTTACAAAAACAGGGTTAGTTATCCTTCACCTCAAGCAAGTCATCAGCAACATGACCAAGACATCCTTGGCCACTGTCACTTCTAATTCTCCCCTAAATTTCTCCATTATCTGTCTCAGTGGGTCTCAAACTTTGGAAAGCATTAGATTTGTCTGTGAACTGAAGATCAGCTTCAGTTCCAGACTCCACGGTACCCTGACACTTGCCAGAGCCCTCCAGTGCCAGCCAAAGCCTGTTTGCCCTATGAGGGTCCATAATGAAGAATAAAGCTGGTCCTCATTTAAAAAAACCTATCAGAATTCTTGGAAACAGTGATTTTATTACCAGTTGTTTTAATTTTTCTTTCTAATCTATTCTTATCTCTAATGTTATGGTATGGGAACCTATAATCCTATATAATAAAAGCCTAATATGCAAGGGAATAGAATTTCTGTAAAGCTAACACCTCTTGCACTGGCCTAGTTCCAGCACCTGAACACACCTACAGAGGTTTTCTGACAGCTCAGTGTCAGAGATGCCCCCTATTGAATAGTCTCTACCCCTCCTCATATTCCCAAATTCAGTGATGACTTGTTATGTGATGAAATGTCACCCACCAAGGGAAAAAAATTCAATGGTTAGAAAATATTAAGTTAAATGAGAAATTCCTGCTGTCCTTATTAGGAGGTTTAAATAGCAAGAGCAGGTCTGGGTGTGGTGAAGGAGAAAGGAGTAGTTACAGCCTCTGAAGAGGATGAAGTGCTGACGTACATAAGTGAGGAAGGTTTAACCTTAATTCTGGTCATTTTTCTTTTTTTATATAAAACACAAGGCAAAATAACTACCTAAACTTTTCTGTCAACTTTTACTTGGATTATCCTTGTGTACTAACATGGCAACATATTATTTCTACAGAAGTACTGGAATATGTGTTTTCCAAATAGCATTACACCTCATGGGATATAACAATTTTCAGAACTAAATTACATTAAGACACACTCTCATTAAAATGCATATTTACACATTCCAAAAGAACTAAATGGCTCTGGAAATACCCACAAGTACATAAAGATTCTTGTTCTAAAGTGTAGACAAAAGAAATATCTTCTGCAAAAATAAATTTAACTCTACTTACTTGTATTGATCAGAAACTGATTGGACACACCAGGGTGATCTACATCATGTATTGCACTGGCAAAAATTGCTGCAAGAATCTCCAAATCTGTAAACACAGCCTGGAAAATCAGACAATATAGATAATATCACTATTCTATAATAACACATATTAAGATTTAAACAAATGGAAAATTACTTCCTAGAATTTGATGGAAAACATAATGAAATTTCAGAATATATTGTGCCTAGTGAGTGACCCTGGGTATGGATTCGTGCACATTGAAAGGAAATTAATTAGAAGGTGGCCAGTGGAGCGGGACTGGGAAAGAGGGCCAGACATGCCCTGGGGCCAACCTCTGGTGGTTTTGGTACTTCCCTGGCATCTGTAGAATGAGCTTGGTTCCTCCACAGGTGGAGGGTCCCTTGCCTTGGCCTGTGGGTATTGAGCTGAAACCAGCTCTCCAATATTTCCTGAGGGGTCCTGGAGTGCGAGAGGGCACTCTGCAAAGTTGCTGTCATACAGGGTGTGGAACGCAAACACAAGTTTGCGGGGCCGACAATGTTCCAGCAACAATATAACCCATGTCTGAATGTGGAATTGCACGGTCCCATTAGAAACTGGGCTCCTTCCTCTCTGGTTTCAGGGTGCATCACCAGAGAACCGCTGCTGCCAAGTCACTATAGCTCAGCAGCTCCTGTGTTGAGCATCTGCCCCCTGGTGGTCAGTGGGCATCATAGCAACTGGTCTGATACAACATATTAGCCTTTTATATATATAGAAGATGTTTTGGGAAGAGTTCTATAGATAATGAATTACTCGTGAACTTTGTAAGTATGATCTTGGAAGAAAATATTTTACCTAATGTTATAATTTATGATACAATTTTTTCCGTTGATTAGATATTTTTAAGTATTAAAAAGGAGCATCTGAAATTATTTTTTACTCAAACCAGGGTTTCTCAACTTCAGCAGAATTCACATTTTTGGGCCAGATAATCTCTGTTATGAAAGGCACTTCGTATTAAAAGATTTTTAGCAGAATCCCTGGCCTTTACTCATGAGATGTCAGTAGCATGTACCCCCTAGTGTGACAGCCAAAAATGTCTCCACATATTACCAAATGCCGGTGGGGGATGGGAGGAGAAGGAAAAGGAATCACTCCCAGTTGAGAACCACTCACTAAATGATGAAATATTAACATAGTTCTATGATGAAAACAATCTGAATTATAAAATATATTAGAAAAAAATATTTCCCCAAACAATTAAGGAAATAAAATTGCTTAAATAACAATTTAATGAAACAACTTCTTAGGATTTGATAAAATTGAAGTGTTTCCTTCTAATCAATTCTATGAAAAACATCAATGCATTGATTATATTTTAATATAATAATCATCCTTTGACTATAAATGTAAAATCCCCATCAGACTACTATTTTGACCAGAAAAACAAACAAACTAAAATAATAGAAGCCTAACAGATGTGCTGTAAGGAATGTCCATTAGGTAATTTCAAGAAAGCAGTGAATCCCAAAATCGCTAGTCAACAGATGAATTCCTAAATCGCTGGTCAACTTTCTCAAACAATATCATCAGACTTTATTTACCACCACATCTTTTACATTATAACTCAATGTACTTCCAATGAAGCCAATTATTTTCTGCACTGCATTCTCTTCAGTATACAAGTTTAAGAGCCCTTTTATGAGTGACAAGTTAGTGTTCTCAGAGTTTTAGGAACCAGATTTACCTCCAGAGCAGGTGTAGATAACAGCACATGTGTTGACTGGACCACGTCTGCAGCATGAATATTGTTGTGGTAGGCCACGTCAGCATGGTAATGGTCTTCCAGGGTCATAAGGTATGTAACTAAAGTGTCTACTGGAATTTTAAATGTTTTCAATAAATCCCGTTCCTGTAGGAAAAGAAATTCTCTTAACATTTGTCCTTACAACAGGTTTTCCATAGAGTGTGTTAACAACAACAACAAAAACAAAAACAAAAACACACCCAGAAATGGAAATAGCACTCTCACGATATCTATTGAGGAAATGGAAATCTTTGGGAAGATCCAGGGACTTCAGGGATAAAACCAGAGTTGAGATGTCCTTCTGAAGCCCAACAGTGTTCAACCCAAGATGTGTGGTGTGAGGAATGAGCTGCCAGTTACAGAAGTGTCTGTGTCCTAAGACCATGAAGTCAGCCTCAGTCTAGCGCCACTGACTCAGTCACATCAACTGAAATGTAACATCCTTTCTAGGGCTGGAATCTGGTGTTCCAGTCCCGGGGGTACCTACAGCCTCAACTCGCACTTAAATCCTATGCTGGAGCAGAAGCAGCTCAACAAGAGTGAGGAACCGATATGGAGAAGAAAAGTACACAAAACAGTGAGAAAATTAAGATTAGTTAGCAGGGGGGTGGATTCAGTTTTTATGGTTAGTATTCCATTCTCTGTGTGAGTCAGGGTCATGTGCATGATTTTTAAACCATGATTTTAATGAATTGCTTCAATTTTCCCACATCATATCTTTTTCCTTAAATGGGAAAAAATTAACAACATTGGTTTATTTGCATTTTACCCACACTTCAACCTTTCTGTATTTTTATTAATCCCTAGGTTAAGGGGCAAATAGGAAAAAAGTCCAATATATGCAAAAGAGAGTGAGTAGTAAAGAAGATACAATGCATGCACGATTCACAGGCTGGACATTAAGGCACAGAATGAGGAGAAAGGTGATAGGAACACATTACCTGAAAGATGGTGTGCATGATAACAGTCAGAGGCCGGTTACCAGACAGCTCTGCTACTCTAAAAACATGAAGACCCCATTTGTTCACCTCTTCTAGTTCCTGGGGTTAAAGAAAGACAGAAAAATTAGAAATCAGAGGTAGAACATGAAACAATGAACCTATTCATGTATCGATAAAAATTACTGATTTTAATGAAAAGATTGTTAAACTTAAAAAAAGTGATTCATTTAAAATATAATGGGTGCACCATGTAATTAGGGGGAAACTTTAGGCAGATTCACTTGAACGTACTAAAAACTGAATAGCATTGCTTAACCCCGTGCCTTTGACAATACAACATATTTACATACTTTCAATATAAATTTCAAAGCATTTCTTCAATAGATAAAATCCATTCATAAAAACCTTAACTATTCTCCTAAAACTGGAAGATATAATAAATAGATTTCTAACTCTTTAATGTTAAACAATCAAACATAGAAGCAAAAAAGGAAAGAACACACATCACAAACTACCTGTGTGAGTCCATGTATTAATAAAACCCAAATAATTTAGAAAGAGTTGTATAAAGTGTATTCCTATCTTAAAAAAACTCATAGCCCATAAATTAATAACTTATCTATTTACTAAAAGAGAAGGAATAAAATTTCACTAAAAGGCATTGTTGCATACTGATGCTCACAATTACTGACATTTTTCTTACCTTGGCAAGGACGTCTTCTTGTTCAGTTTTAACCCCAAACCTCGGGATGCTTGAATTAGTCAAACTGGAACTGTGCATCAACTTCTTGACCCCACTAATCTGAGACATTGGTCTTTTCTTTTTCTCCTTTTCCTTCTGAGTTGGAGAAGGAATTTCCACTTCATGTTGCTTATCTTAAAAATAGAGAAAATATTCTACACTTACTATTAATTCTACCTGAGCTTTTTCTTTTTTTCTTTTTTTTTTTTTAAAAGCATAACATATATAACTAGATAGGTTTTAATTTATCATTATATATTCCAGGAAATATTTCCAAGTAAAGCTTCTTTTAGAGAAGTTGAATGTTTAAAACTTGATGAGGACTGAGTTTGATACCATTAATAAATAAACAAACAAACAAATAAATAAATCCATTCCAAGGCAGAATAATTAATAGTGTGTGAACCTGACAGTTTACCGAAATGGGTCCTCTGAATGACAGATTGCTTTCACTATTTCACATTTCTATACTATCATGAGCTAGGTGTTATGATGTAACAAGGTTTTGCGGGAAGTATAGAGAATCTCCAATATTATCTGATAAATGACTATCAGTTTCACAAAAGCTATTTTCAAATAAAAGACACAAGATGTATCTGTACATTCATTCCTTATTTCAAGGGAGTGAGCTCCTCTAACTCATCCTTGCACATAGTGTGTGCTCAGTAAGTGTCTGTTTAGTGAATGTGCTACTAAGATATTCAGCATTTTGTTTTTAAAGTAAAGACAAAGCCAAATCAAGGATATGTTCAAGTTGTTGACTCACTGCATTTTATTTTCCTCTGGGAATGGGCGGTGGAAGTGGTGTTGTCCCAGTATACCATACCGTTAGCTATTGTTATCAGTAAGCTTTTCTTTAGCCATTATATTCTATCTGCCTCAACAGTTTACCAGGTGTGGTGTCCATTAGACTATCAATCCATTGAAGACAGGGACCATTTCTAACATCATTAAATACCTAGTGTCCAGCAGTGACTGGCACTTAACAAAAATTTGTTGAATGCATGTATAGATCTCAAAAATACATTTCACAGTTTAGTACTTTGAAAAAACGAGCAGTATGTAACTTTAATTCAGAAAAACCCTAAAGTCCTGAATAAAACTAAAAGGTAAAAAGTGCATTTTGTCACTTTAGGTTCTAAAGTTTAGAGGCTTAGAGGCTCAAATTATTAATATAATCAGTGGAAACAAATGGAAGTCATAACACTTGTTTGATTTCCAAAATCAGTTGGTTCTTTAATCCACCTCCCAAAATAAACAACTCAAAAGAAAATTTAGAAGTTGCACGTTGTTACTCTCACCTAAGAATGTGTTTGATATATACTCCGACACTTGATTTCCAGATCTACTCATTTCAGAGAGATGGGTGAGCTCCCGATTAAGCATCCTTTTAAACTGAAAAACAGAAAGATTAAAAAAAAGATGAAAATTTAAGTGTAAGAATATAATGCTAAGATACAGAAAATATGCCCAAAGAATTGTTAAACTGTCCTGACACTTAAAAAAAATATTTTTTTTATTGATTTCAGAGAGAAAGGGAGAGAGGAGAGATATAAAAACATCAATGATGAGAGAGACCTCCTGCACACCCTCTACAATCGAGCTAGGCATGTGCCTATTTTATCCAAAGAAACCCTGGAATTTACCTATCCCAACAAAGCCTTTAAAACCAGAATTCTGAGATGGTATGCTTTCCCGTTCATCAATTGCTTCTCAATGTCTTCCTTTGACTTTCAAAATTGCCCAGTTTGGCCTTTTAAGATACCTTAATATGTCTCTTAACATATAGGGAAAAAAATATTTTTCTATATATATGGAGTAACTATACTATTAGATATTTGCTTGGAAAAAAGTCATGTATATATCAATAGTTGCCCTTACAATTTTGAATTTCACCATAAATTATCATTTAAGTCTGCGGGGGAAGACAGTAGTGAGCTTATCATGAAGTAATGTCTAAAATGTAATTCTAATTCAGTATTTAATCTGTTCATTAGAATTAAAAAATCTCACTTCTCTGCAATGATTCATACCAAGGTGTTCTAACTCAAGATAATCTGGCAAAATTGCTTCCAAAGTCAATCTTAATGATCATCTAAATTAGGTGTAAAAATTTATCACCACAAACAACTGAGATCAATGAAAAAAATTTCAAAACACTAGTGGATATGAGGAATTCTTATTAGCATTATCCTAAAGCCAAAACTGAAGAACTGGCCATACCAATACAAATTCTTCTGGCTGTTAATTTACAGGTATAGGGAGTTGTTCATGCATGTTTTTTTTTTTTTTTTAAAGTAATTGTCTCTGATCATAAAATACATGTGATATGGAAATCTAGAAAGCTATATAGAAAAGTAGAAATCATGTATAGCCACCTCCCCCCCCCCCCCCCCCCCCGCCTGAGCTCAAAGTAACCATACATAATTAGCTATATGTCCTTCTATGCATTTAAAAAATTTGTATGGATGTATATTTTCAAAATTAGCATTATGCAGTATACAAAACATGGATTGCTACTTAGAATAATATATTATGATTCAAGGGGAAAAGTAAATTTTGGGGCCTTCTAAGAATATTTATACCCTGGCTGGATAGTTTCAGTTGGTTAGAGTGTCATCCTGATATACCAAGGTTGTAGGTTTAATCTCTGGTCAGGACACATAGAGGAAGCAATCAATGAATGCATAAATAAGTAGAACAACAAATTGATATTGCTTTCTCTCTCTCAAATCAATAAAAAAAAATTTAAAAAAGAATACTCAAGACATTTATCATAGTGTTCAAAACATTTTCTATCCATGTTTTATAAAGTTGTATTTTTTGAGTAAGTTATAAGCTATCAAATAATTAAATGAGCTAATAGGAAATGTCTTGTATTTAGTCTAGCACATCATAAATGCTCATCATTATTTGAGCTCTTTCTATATACATGGGCCTTTTATAATGGTTTTTATTACTGCAGGGCAAATTTAAGATTTGGATATAGTTACACCTATAAAAGTACATATCTAAATATCTACCTCCTCTACTCATTCCAACAAATACATTTTTCAGCATGCTTCAAAATATAATTATAATATCAGGCACCAGGCTAAAAGGTAAGTAAATCCTTGCTTAACAAATAAATTTTACTTTAGAAAAATATATTTTTAAAATTTATCTTTTTCCCTTATTTTTTATTCTTTTCATCACCATTTATCCCCCATACCATCTTCCCCTACCCCTCATTCCCTCTCGCAATTACCAAACTGTTGTTTGTCCATGAGTTCTTCCCCCTTTTTTTCTCATTCCCTCCACTCACCCCACTCACACCCCCACCCTAACCAGAGCTCTCTGCCTGCTCTTTATCCATGAATCTGTCTCTATTTTGCTTGTTGGTTCAGTTTGTTCATTCAGTCCCACACATGAGTGAAATCATATGGTATTTATCTTTCTCTGACTGGCTTATTTCACTTAGCATAATGTTTTCCAGGTCCACTTATGCTGCCACTAGGGTTAAATTTTTCTTCCTTTTTACTGCTGAGTAGTATTCCGTTGTGTAAATGTACCATAGAAAAAAATCTTTAGGCAAAACTCGTTCAAAAGAGTCTGTTGATAGCAAATCCTGGCCTCTCCACAATCTACACAGGAACCACAATGTCCACCCGCCCTTCATGTACTTTATTTCTCTCAATGTACACTTGGGGGCGGGGGAGGGAATTAAAAAGTTAGATGGGGACCCAGTTTTTTACAGAATTCCCTTCCAACTTGTAAGCAACCTGGTATAAGGAATATGTTGCCGATGCTAAAGCAGAAAAATGGCACAGTGCCTGCAATTCCCTACACAAATTCTTGAATTTATCTGGAGGAATATAAAGAATGACATATAATTTTCCTGACAGTTTGCTTATATAAATAATCAAAATAAGCCAGTAAAGTACACATAACCAAGACAAAAAATGCCAGTGAAAGTAATCTATTGTACTGACTGATAAATTATAGATTATTCATTCCACTGATTATTTTTATATCATCTACATCCCAGACTACTCTTCTACTTTTGTTCAAAACCCAAACGCATGGAGTAGAGAAACCCTTCAGATGCTAGAGAGGTGATCTAAGGAAGTCCACCTTTCCTTTTATCATAGTTAGAAGAGACAATATTTTAAGCAGAACCCCTTTTTCCTAAGGGAATGGGGAAGGAAATCTAAGACAATCTTCAAAGAGTCAATCTAGTTATAACATAAGAGCATTTTCCAAAAGAAATTAAAATTAACTGTTTTTTTTTTTTTTTAATAGATAAAACACTGAGTCCAGGGAGGCTAAAATAATAACCACAAAAATTACCACCAGTGCTTTCTCAACTGGAAGTTGATGTTACAATCTGGTTTTGAAGTGTGTCGCTAGATATAAAGAAAATAAACCAATCAACAATAATTTTTAAATGTAAGGAAAATTTCTCTCACTTTAAAATTGATTAGAATGACTATATAACTATGAGGGGGAAATAATTTAAAAAGATAATAAAACATACGCTATATTTTCAATTTACAGGCGTAGAAGTGATAAAAGATGGAACTGCTTTTCAAAAGAACTGACTGTAAAATGCAGAACAATTTAATTGAGCTTTTAGATATTTTTAAAAGTGATCTCTAAATATTTCCTGATGAGTTATTCTAGTTGTTTTTTTTATTTTATTTAAATAGTTTGAAATAACATACAGATCACTGTTGCAGGAAAAAAAGATTTGCAAGTTAATGCTTTCAAATCCTTTGTTCTCATTGTGCACCAGAAAGTCTGCATGCAGCATTTAAAACACAAAGGAAAGTGAAAACGCAGTTGAACTGAATACTCTATTTTGCCTTTTAAACTCCAGTTCCCAAATTTATACTCCACATTTTAAGACTGTTGAGGAAGAAAAATAATTAAAAATTTAAATATTCTCAAATTTAATCCCTTTATTTCTGCATTCATGCTAATGTGTTTCTGGGGACATTATATAGTCTCTTAGCATATAATTAAGAAGGTGGCAAAGGTCAAACATTAAAAAAATGCTTGTCTTCCATAATATTCTATTGAAAATCATTTAAATATGTTGCACTGTCAAACACTACAAGTTTGATAGATAGCATTAAAAGCTAAAATGAATACTGCACATGCTGTATAATAATAATTCCTTTAACATGTATAAGACTAAATATATTTATTCTTAAATGTAAAACAATTATACTGGGTTTTTTTTTTTTTTTTTTTTTTTGCAATAAAAAGCTGTCTAGCAAAAATTTTCTTAAAAAAACACATATTAAAATTCTATACTGAGTTCTTAGAGGTATTGTTCATTATCATAATACAAATGTGAAGCCATTCAAAAAATGCACCAAAAATGAACTGTCTAAAAGCTAAGAGATGATTTCTGGGAGGATTGGGAGGGATTCCTTTATCACCCTCTATCCTTTTCTGTATTAAACAAATTCCAAGCCAAGAAATGGTTAGCAAAATTTAAATGAAAATCTGCATTAAAAAAAAAGTCATTGGAACCATCTACAGATTAAAAGGGAGGTAGGTAATCATAACTACTTGGGCAATTAAAACTGAAATAAGTTTTCTTAGACTGCAGGCAAATCTCCCAGCAAATGGTAAAATTTCCTTTAAAAAGAAACAAAGAAAATGAAAACATTTCAATCGGCATTCTTAAAGTTCTGAAAAAGAATTCTGAAAAACAATGTACTGTGATATACTCAAATGTTCAAGAATAAATGTTGACCTTGGAATTCTTTTAGGACTGAAAAAGGTTTTTGCCTCCTGCTTCTATTAGAGAGACCACCAGGCTAGCAGCCACCAGGAGCATGCAAGAAGCCTGCCAAGCAGGAATACAATTTTGCTAAAGTCAGTGTATTAATTCATTTCTTGAGATGAACAAAAGTAGCAGTATCACATAAACATATATTTTTTTTCAGTTTTACAAGTAATCAAGCTTTCATTTTTAACAGTATGTCACTTAAAAAGTCAAATAATGTCAATTTTTAATGTCATCTAGAGCTTTTCATCCAAAGGTAAAAACAAAACAAAACATACTCTTCATCAGGTTAAATTAGTGCAGATTTTTAGAAAGAGCCACAAATCAACTTTTATAAACTTTACTTCAAACTAACGGGAACCCATACACCGGTATAAGTAATTTTGCTCAATAATTTATTTCCAATGGGTTTATTTAATTACCTTGACATTTACAAGCATACCTGAAATCCGCACAACATGACAAAGAAACCCTGCACATTAAAAAGCAATTTTAACATGCAAACTATAACTATTAGAAGTTGCACAATTTCTCTTTATCTTGACTAAACACACGTATTTCTTCTGCAGTCATGTCTAAGGAAAAAAGATTGCTTAGAAAGCTTAATTCCATTGTA